ACAACCCAGAAGACAGAAATCTTCATACTCACCGCTGTGAAGACCTCAAATCATACATAGTAAGCAAATGTCTGTACCAGCTTGAAAATCCTCCTTTTATCCTAAACTAAACTAGACTAAACTAAATAAACTAACTCCATACATCAGAGTCCGTTTTGAGAATCTGAAAAATATTGTGCTCAGCTAAGTATATTTTTTACTCTAGTTCGAAGTGACTGATAATGGCTGAAGTATTTCTGTTTTTCCACATCTAATCGATAAACTCGTAAATTTTATTCCAGTGATTCGTGATGAGCTGACAAGTTTTTACGTCTCGTTGCAGGAATACGTGATGGACTGCTACTTCAGACAATTTTGGTACGACCGCAGGCTAGTGTTCAATTTCCCTGGTCTCGACGAATTTTCTTTGTCATGGCTGTTTCTAGACCGCGTTTGGAAACCAGATACTTTCTTCTTAAACGGAAAGAAGTCCCACCTGCATCGCATTACTGTCCCCAACAAGTTTCTGCGCCTGCGCAAAGACGGATTCCTTATGTATTCCATGAGGTAAACACTTTGCGATGTGCACACTTCACTTGTTATTGCTAGGACAGTGATACCAGGTTTCTATGGACCAGGATGCAGCTCAGACAGGAAATGAAATTCATACAGAATATTTCTCGTATGGAAGCTCCAGAAAGATTGGAAATGGATGAAACTAGCCCAGGATCATATTCAGTTGCTGTCTTTGTCATTTGCGATTTTGAACCATCGAGTTCTGCTATTAAATCTTGATCATATAAATATTTTGTGTCATTTGTTAATTATTTATAAAATAATAAACACAACAGCTACGTTATCTATAGTTACATCATCGTCTTTAAATGTCAAATCCTACATCACAAGGTTTATGTTTTACCTTCATACTGAAAGTAAACTATCCCAACAATTTCAGTGAAAAAAAACGTCAAATTTAATACAATTTTGTATTTACTTTAAAGATGAAACGTGTGGATTAAATAAATTACTTTCGCTGCACAGTTCATCAAAGAACGTATGCAAACATTCAAGGAGAAGTCCATAGATTTTTGGTATTTATTTACTTTAAATATAGAAATATGTTTTTATTTTAACAATTTTACAATCCTAAACTATTTTCCACTCTAAAAGAACGTAAGCTGCAGTGCCATTATGCCCGTGTGTTGTTGCAGGCTGTCTGCGACATTTTCTATGATTAATACAGCGTTGGTGGTTCTACCTTCGGTCTTTTAATTCTAAAACACAAATGTCAATGTGATGTGGCCATGCAAACTTCAGAGAGTAAATTTGCACGAACACCATTTAATAAGAACATTGTAGTTATTGTATGGTAATGACTGGTTTCAAATTTTATCAAGTGTTTTATCGTACGTTTCTGCCTTTAATGACGTCAATTAACAATATGGAGGCGCTCCGAAATTGTAGGCCTATTCTATGGTAACAAGTAATTAACAGTTTTCAAGCAGCTATGTAGAATTTAGGACAACTATAGATCACAAATATACCTTCCAAGACAAATTTCTACAAGAATAAACATTTATAGTCGATTGGTCCATTCTTTTTTTTTTCTATCTGTTTACTTTTCGTGTAAAAAAATTAAAAATGTAGGAGGGGTTAGATATTCTTGTTTTTTTGGCAAAGCATAAGTAAAGGAAATCTAGTTCAATAGACTAATAGTGATATTATACACTAATTTAAATCGTCAAGTTGTATCCTATAGTCACTTCTGTATCGTGTATGTAGATTGAAGTTTTTATATTAAAAATTTCACATCCTCGCGGCGACAATAATGAAGATGTCTGTCATCTTGGAGGTTGCGTCTTGTAGTCTGGTGCTTTCTGCCTCCATCATCGAGGCGATAATCGCCCAGACAACACGACGCAACATTCCAGAACACCGTCTTCGTTTAATGGAATGTTGGTACCATAGAATCTTCCCAGGACTTACTTTCTTGGTCTTATTGAAATTAATAACCTTGCATATATTGACCGTATGACTCCATTATGCTCATTAGTGGTGTATCACTAATTTGTTTACAGGTTGACGATAAAAGCCAGCTGCCCCATGCATTTGAGAAAATTTCCACTCGACTCCCAGAGCTGTCCTCTCCTTATTGGGAGCTGTAAGTAACTTGGTGGTACCGTCTTTTAATACTTTCCATCCTGCGAAAGAAATGTGTCGTTTAGCCTGGTTTTTCTTCTCTTACATATTTGGTAACACTGCCAGTGGATAAAGCACGTGGCCTCCTGTCTCTTGGTAATTTAATATAAACATCAGAATCATTCCACAAACCATAGAAATGTAATTCTGCTCCAAATGCCAGCATGGAAAGTGTTAAATATCTTTAAATTCAGTGACTTTTTAAACTTTATGTTATTAAAATATTATCAGTTTAGCTGAATATTATGGACTGAATACCTAATGTAAGTACTTCTCTGTAAAATGTGGAGTCCTTCATGATCCATACACGCATTTATGCAGTGCCTTTATTCCTATGTCACAAAAATAATTAATTACGGTGTCATAAGTGGTAATACGTAATGCAGTACAATTAGAGAAATGGTACTCTGTAATAAATGCCTAATAGTGAAGCAGTCCGTCCGCTTACATTAAGACTGGAACATGTGCTTTATGCATCTGGCATCTAAGCAGACAAAGATTTAGCCACGAGAGCTGAATTGTTGCATTTTGTAATTATTTAACAGTCAATTTTGATGCGGACCCAGCGAAAAAATACTCGAATATCTGAATCCAAGAATAATGATTAGTTTATGTTCCATACAATCCTCTTTTCTTGCGCGTATATGACAGGAATAATTGAAATTATGGACATCACAGGGCTAGGGTTTCTTTAATATTATCCTTTTAGTACAATCTTTAAAATGGTCTCTTTCTAAACATTGTATACATTCGTAACGTATCCCAAGACCGAGGTTCACAATAATATGAACGACGGAACAAAATGAAAGAGAAGGGAAAAGAAGAGGGTAGGAAGAAAGATAAAAGTGTGAAAGAAAAGGAAACGAAGAAGGGGGATAAATAAAACAACTGGGAGAAAATGATAAGTACAAGAAGGAACTTCACAAGAATGAGATAACAAAGTAAAAGGAAAGGAAAATTAAATGAATAAGTAAAATAGTAGAAGATCTAGGCGAACTAGAAGATGCTTTCTACTTGCGCTCGTACCAACGTCGTTTCCTCCCGCCAAGTCTTCTGCATCAGCATCTGTTCAAGTAGCTACCACCTGCTCGTTGCAATATTCTCTGTTTAAAAATAGAATTCCCCACCGCAAGCTGGCGAAGCTCTTTTGGCGCCAGATGAAATCATCTCTGTGTTCTTAAGTAATACGGGAAGAAGGGCGACATATTTATACGATGTCAGATTTAAGGTCTTCACAGCGGCGAGTATGAAGATTTCTGTCTTCTGGGTTGTTGCGCTGTGTAGTCTGGTCGATGTTTACCAACGTT